CCCCACCCCTACTCAGTGAGAACCAGAGAGATAGAGACCCCTGACTCAAAACCACCAGAGAGAGAGAAGTTCTAAAAGATGCAGACCCTAGACCCACAGAGAAAGATATTTTGCTGCCTCCCCCCCACCCCAGGGGTGGGGTGGGGGGGTTAATCTGAGGCACAAATCCAAAATCTAAAGAAAAAATAGACCTCAATCTCAGGGTGGAAAAAAAGAACCCAGACCCCCCTGAGAGGAGTCAAAGGTTCAAAATCTGAGCTTCCAGTCTCAAAAAGGTTTTCCATAACCACAGAAATCTTAGACTCTAGACTCAGAGGGTGATTTCAGGGACCAAGACCTGAGGCCTAGCCTCAGAGAAAAAGATGAGATCCAGGTTCAGAAAGAACCCAGACCTAGAATTAGAGAACTCAGAGATATGAGACCCCAGATTTAGATCTCAGAGAAAGGAACCTGCCCACTCAGGGTCTGATAACTCAGAGACAGAAAACTCCAGACCTTGGAGGGGGGGGAGGGGGGGGGGGGGGAAGGCGGAGAAAGGGAAGGGGAAAAAAAGAGAGAAAAAACACTCAGCTAGTACAGAGATGGAGAACTCAGCGACCCCAAACTCATAAAGAAGAGTTCGAAAGACCTTGGAGAGTGATCACAGACCCAGAAACAGAAACCCCCAAAACAAAAAACCAAAAGGAACCCCAGTCCTGAGAAAGATCCCAATGCAAACACTGAAAGATCCTACAGAGATTTCTCTCAGAGACTAACTTAAAACCAAAGACAGAGCTCTCAGGAAGACCCCAATCCCAGAGAGGTAGGTATGACAGAATTCTGACATCAGCCTGGGAAATGTCCATTCACACCCACCTAGCTGAACAGAGACCCCCGACCTTGGAAAGAGGGGGAATACTGCGTAGGGGGAGTGGCAAGAGCCTTTTCCTCTGCTGCTTCTTCCTACCGCTCTCTCCTCTCTCTGGCCACTCTCTCCATTTTTGGGTCACAGGATGTGCTTGGGCCCCAGGGAGGTTATATAGGACAGGTCCTGGCTCTAGGGGGATGGGTTAAGGGAAGGGAACCCAAGGCTGACAGGTAGACCAGTCCTGTAGAGTGAAATAGAAAGGGGATAAGGGACGAAAGGATCATCACTACTTCCTGGTGTCCTCTCCATATCCCCAACCTGCAGCCCTCATCTCTCCCTTTCCCCGATTCACCAGTCTGTCTCCAGCTTTGGGTTTCAGTTAAGAAAGCCGAGACGCCCTCAGCCCCATTTTCATCGTCCTCTATGCCTTCTACAGGGTCTCACTCTGTCCTTTTAAAATGCATCTTTCCTCACCAAGCCATTGTCTTGCCATGCTCAGGCCTGCCTAATCACGCCCCCCTACCTAGGGACAGCTGGCTTCTCAGATCATCACTATTCATTCCCAAACCCAGGCATGTCAGTCCTAACCAAAAGGGCAGGGGGCGCTCTCTTCACTCCCGAGGTTCAATTTTCTCAGACCCTCCCACTCCTCCATGCCTCGGGAACAGTGTAGGAGCTATTACTAGGCACTCTCTGGTGTTTAAGGATGATTCCTCACTCCACAACCTGACGCATCGAGTCGGCGGGGTCTCCAGCCCCACTTTCCTAGCGCCAGGTCTCTCATCATGTGGCCTGCAGAGCTGGCCTGCGATTGGCTTCTTCGCGTCACTCATTGAGATACCGCTGCCCAAGGGGACCGGCCCCCTCACGTGACAGTGGAACGTCGCAGCGGCTACCCTCAGCTTGCAATTGGCGGTTTCCGGTTTACACGGAAACGGGCGTGCCCTGTCTGTATACCGCTGAATATCTAGCTGTCGATTGGTCAGCTCCCGCTTCGCTCCTCCCTCACCAGGAGGCGGGGCAAATCGGGCTACGTGAGGGCCGGATTGGCTGGCTCTGGAGACTGGGTGGTCCAGCGTCTACTGTCACGTGGTGTGCACTGTTTTCTTAACACGTTGCTGCCACCCAGGTAAGAAGAGGCCCTTCTTCCTGGGTTTGGGGTCCTTTCTCGGCGTTACGTGTAGCCTTTGATATTCGACCCTCCTCTACTTACATAGGCTGCATGAGTGGGGTGCGGGCTACTGCAATCCTGCTCGGCGGAGGGGTGAGTGACCGGCCCCGCCCCTTCCGGTCTTCGAAGCCTCGACCACCACCCGCACCCAAAATCTGAGGTTGGCCCCCGAGGAAGGAGTGAAAACAGAGCCTTTGCCTTGATTTTTCAGGTTTATCTCCCAGCTTCAGGGACCTTTTCCTTCGGGGTGCAGAAAAAGGAGGGCAGAGCCTGAGTGTCTCTGCAAGCGAAGGGTTCCCGGGGTGGGTGCAATTTCCTGAGATATTTTGTGGGGAGACACCGAATTCACGTCCTGTTACCAGGCCGTTCTGATCCTGTCGCTTCTTTGGATGCCGGCGCTGCTGCCTCTGGCCTCCCGCCTTCAGTTGCTACCCCGATCCCTGATGTCCATGGCTTCAGGAAGCCCCCCGTTCCGGCCCTCGCCGGCCTCAGGCTCTGACTCTGACTATGTACCAGGCTCGGTCTCTGCAGCCTTTGTCACCTGCCCCAACGAGAAGGTCGCCAAGGAGATCGCCAGGTGGGGACCCCAGGGTGGAGAGAGCATGATCAGGAAGGGAGACTTGCGGGTGGGGAAGAAGAGTGCCTTCCCGCGTCCTTCCCGCCCCAACTTTGGAAACCTGCCTCTGAGCTGGCAGTGCAGAAATCCGGGTCATGGGGTTCTCTGAATAGGGTTGTCTCTTCACCTTCAGGGCTGTGGTGGAAAAGCGCCTGGCAGCCTGTGTCAACCTCATCCCTCAGATTACATCCATGTGAGTCATAAGAGTTGGGGGGTTAAACTAACTCTAGGGGCTGACTGGCAGTCTTTTTCCTTGGGGAAAATCTTTGCTCCCTCAACACTCTCCTTGACTTTTTCAGCTATGAGTGGAAAGGAAAGATTGAGGAGGACAGTGAGGTGCTGATGGTGAGAAACATTTCCCCCACCCCACAAAACCTCAATTCCCTGACCCCTTTGACCCCATCCCTCATTTGAGATCCTGAAGTCAACCCCATCCCTTGATGCAGCCATATTTTTTTTCATCCCTTAGATGATTAAAACCCAGAGTTCCTTGGTTCCATCTTTGACAGATTTTGTTCGGTGAGAACTTTGAAATGGGTGGGGTAAGGATGTGTAGTGTGGGGTGGGACTTGCTGAGCAGTTTAAGGGGGTGGGTTCCCTGTGGGTAAATCTTTGAGTGACACCTCCCCCCCCATCTTTTTTCACAGCTCTGTGCACCCTTATGAAGTGGCTGAGGTGATTGCATTGCCTGTGGAGCAGGGAAACTCCCCATACCTGCACTGGGTGCGCCAGGTTACAGAGTCAGTTTCTGACTCCAGCACAGTCCTAACATGATGAGCCCTGTTCCTGCCACGTTCCCTCATAGATAGACTTCAATGCCCTCTGACTTCCAGGTGATGACTGGGCCGCTAATAAATGGTATCTTTGGTCTTTCTGGGTTTTGCTTTTTCTTGTCATGTATGTGAATTTGGGTGGGAAGATCAGAAGTGCTTCTAGTGCCTTTGTTCTCATCTTTCAGAATGACTCAAGAGTTGCTAGATTTGTTTATCTTTATTTCAGTCATACAGAGTCCGGGATCCTTATCATCCCTCCCCTCCTCAGTCTCCATCCCCAGGGGTTAAATAATTTTTAAAAATATCTTAAAAGCTGTAACAAAATAACATCAAAGGAAATGGGAAGAGGGATGGAGGGGTCAGGCATCATGAAGGGAGAAGAGAAGAGAGAGCCTCTTCCCCCCATCCCCCAACCTGGATTCCACCTGGGCAGTGGGGAGAACTACCCCCTGCCTCCCCAGGTACATCCCAGCTGTAGGTGAGGTCAGAGGTCAGGGTATGAAAGTGCCGGTGTATGTGAATGGGGAGGTGGGCAGAGGCAGGCTGTTCAGAAGATGCCCCCACTTCCCCACTCAACCAGGTACTGCACAGAACCATCAGGCCGAACTCTCCGAGCAAGGACCCGAACAGGGTCTCCTCGGGACAGGTAGCCAACCCCACCTCGGACTCCTCCCCCAGTCCCAGGAGACAAAGTACGGCACAGGGAAGAAGAGGGTGCTGAGCGTCTAGGAAGACCTGGGGAGGGGGCTGTGACCGAGGAAGATGAGGCAGTCATTGAGTGGGGGGCACTTTTAGGGATGTCTGTGGGGAAACCAATGTGAAGTTCCAGGGGTGACCTAGGGAGAAAAGGCAGTTGTGAGTCCAGACACAATAAGGACTGACCAGAAATGGAGGCCACATGTGGATCAGAGGAATGAAGAAATGGTTGGAGACTGAGGACCTTTAAGAACAGAGGCGAAGATGGGTATCACAGGTAAAGAGGTAGAATCTCACCTGTCTGGGGGTTCACTGTCCCCAGAGGTCCCTGCGGTGCTGGCAGAGGGGTGGAAGGAAGCAAACATCCGGATGGGACTGCTGGGGTTGGGGAGGGGGAGAGTCAGGACCTGAAGCAGGGGAACAGGATGCTCTCCCCCTGAGAAGGACAGAGCTCAAACATTACCCCCAAAAAGCCCCCATCCCCAGGACACTGGGGACCAGACATTGGTTCTAGAAGTCTCTCTAGGACAGGAAGTGGGTAGCCAAAGGGAGGAGGGAAAAGAATTCTGGGTGAGAAAATCCAGAGGGGGTACAATTGGAGGAGAGCTTCTAAGGGAACATATCTGGTTGGAGGGTGGAGGAGCACTGACCTGGGCAGGCAGCGGGCATCTGTGGGCCGGAAGTTGTAGCCGCTGCTGCCCTGGTAACTCTGGTTAGGGCTGGGGGGTGGCGGAGACACTGAGGCCTAGAAGAAGGAGCAAGGGACTGAGAGAGAATCCTTGATTCCTTCCCATACCACCATTTGCCCCACGGGGTTCTCCCTGTCCCTGTACCTGCAGTGCCCTCTGCAGACGAGCCCGCTCCCTCTGCTCCTGGGGCTCTGGCTGATTGCGCACTGCTGAGGATGGCCCCAGCTCCTCCATCTTCCCCTTCTGCCTCCTCAGGGGCTCTGGCTCCGACCTCCGGCGCTTCCCCAGGGGACGTGAGACCCCTCCCCCAGGGCCCTGCCCTGAAGGGAAGCTGTAAGAGGCCTCCTTATCCCCCCAGCCCCCTCCCGGACACCCCAAAGACCTCCCCATCTCCATACATATACCCCGATTAATACCCTGAGAATTTCCCCATCCCCCCTGGACCAGTGACCTGGTGGGGGCTCCATCTCCAGTAGGGGGCTCCACAGGAGGAGGGATCCGAGCGTGGAGACCAAACAAGCATTTCCTCTTCTTAATCTCCCTCCCTGAAATGAAACTGGGGTGAGGAGAGAAATGATACAGGGTCAGTGCTGCCATTACTCTTCTGCCATTACTCAGCCCTGTCCAGGGATGATCTTCCAGGAAAGTTGCAGTGCCTCCCCTCCCAGGCTTCCATATCTACATCTCTATTTCTTTCTGAGCCTCCCTTCAACTTACCGGTCCTTGTGGCTGTTGAGTGCAGACAGGAGCTTGGAAGAACGTTCTCCTTTGGGGGTGTCTGAGAGCTGGGGGAAGGGAGGGAAAACGGGATCAAGGAAGCAGTGATCCCTCCCTCTCCCTTTTCTTCACATCTCCCTGTTCCACCCTAACACCCAAACCTTCACTCTCCCTTACCTCCCCAAGGAGCAAACTGTCCCAATTCTCAGAGGTGAAGGGGAGGATCTCACGGTCAAAATCAAAGTATTTTTTCTTACAGCAAACGCTGAGGTGATAGAGGACAAGATGGGCCACATCCACCCTGGAGAAACACAGTTGTCAAGGTTGTGGAAGCATTACAAAAGCCAGGGGAGTCCCGAGTGAGAGGCTGGGGCAGGTAGGGTGAAAAACAGCGTGCTGAGAGAGGAGTTCCACAGGCCATGCCCAATCCAACTCACCAGCGAAGTTGTAGCCTCCTGACCTTCTCAGGGCCTCCCCGACACACACAGCATTCAAACTCATAGAACCTGGATGTGAGCAAGAGGGAGAGAACACACCTTAGACAGGAAAACTAGACCATGCTGTGGAAGACTCACAAGCAACGATAAGGTGAACTGGTGAGAAACACTCCAGAGGTTGGGAAGAGAATGGATCTGAGTCAGGCGGGTGTGGGGGAACTGAGAGGGCGGAGAGAGCAAGAGAGCACCCCCTGGGCTCCTGCAGAGCGTGTGGTCTCACCTGTCCCCATAGAGGAGAGGCTTGCTCAGACACTGGGTACAGGCCTCATGGAACCACTGCAAGCAGCTCTGGCACTGCAGCATTTTCAGGTTCCACCTGAGGGGGACACAGGACTGGTGACCTCCAGACACTCCCTCCTTAACTCCCCCAACCCTGCTCACCACCTACTCCCACCCCCTTAAGCACTCCCCTCAGGGTTTTCTCCTTCATTCCCTGGGGATACCCCCACCACACCATGTCACTCATTCCTTAACCCCGCCCCCCCATTACTCACTCCCCAGGACCACCACAGTAACAGTAGCTCTGCTGACGGTTGCTCAGATGTCCAGCATCCCAGTCCAGCCCCTTCAGTCCATATGGCAGAGATAGCTTCATGCCCAACATCGCCCTGGCATAGGGGCCCTTCTTCAGTGCACCCCCCCTCTGCAGATAGAACAGGCGGGCTGCCTCAGAGCGGTGGGGAGAGGAAAGGCTTGGGAGAGGCTGTGGGTGGGCGGCTCCCACAAGAAGGTGCTTTTACCTTGGTGGCAATGGCAAAGATGCACTGGCGGCAGACCCAGGATGTGCCCTCTCCTTCTCCTGGGGCTGGGGCCCTTGGAACGTGGCAGTCCTGGTGATAAGCTGAATAATGATATTATTGATGGTAGAGTATTTATTTCATTGCAAACCTGTGTGTGCCAGGTATTGGGATAGGAAATCTTATCTCATTTAATCCTTGACCATGGTCCTGCTGTGGGGAGGGTATTACCCTTATTTTACAGGTGAGAGAACTGAAGCTCCTCAAGGTTTAGGGACTTGCCCAAGGTCATTTGGTTTGAAAAGGGAGTATTTGAACCACCCGCTGCCTGCAAAGCTCACATATCCCCATTCCATGGCTACCCCTTCCTGTGTTGGAAGGCAGTGAGACTACAGGGTCGAGGAGACTGGCCAGAGCAGTGGCTTGGGGACTCAGGCCAGGGCAGGTGGCATAAGGATCAGTGCTAGTGGGAAGGGTCAGAGGCAGCCTGGAAGGCCCAGGGCAAGCTGGACCATTCAGGTGTCCTGCCCTCTCACCGTGGCGACACTTCTCGCAGCTGACCAACCGGTTCCCAGGGACCACAGTCTCAGAGCGACAGACACAGCAGAGGAATTCCTCCCCTGGGAGGGCAGCTATGAGAGAACACAGTGTTAGGGGGCCTATCCTTAGGCCCCCTTCTGTCCCCTAAGCCAGGTTTCTGTCTTCCATGGGAAGCTCACTCCCAGGCCTCTAGGGTCTCACCAGGGCTAATGTCTTTCCATAGAACCAGAAACTGGGAATCATCCTCAAACTGGACCAGACACACTTCCCGAGCACTGTCCACCTGTAATGGGTGAGCATAGATGAAATGGGAATCAAAATTAGATAAGGGGAAGGGGGGAGAGGTGACAGGTCAGAAGTCAAAGGTCTTACCTTCTTGATGGTCCCCAAGTATAGCAGCCCATCTGTCCATCTGGCCAGCACATCTTGACCCTCCCAAAGTCGAGGCCTGGGGCCTGAGGTGGGAGTGGGGGAAGTTGGGTCCCAAAGTGGGGGGGCACCAGAGCGGCTCAGCCGGGGGGGCTGTGCCATTGCATCCTGGGGGGGGCCTAGCCAGAAGTGGGATGGGAGAAGAAGGTTATCAAAGCTGAGAATCCTTCCTTATTTTCTTTGCCTATTTTTCTGTCAAGGACTCAAGCAGCTGCACCCTCAGTCTCCAAATCCCTGAGACACCTGGATAGGAAACCAATCAGCACCCCTCCCAAGCTTCTTGACTCCAGCTTTCCCAACTCTGGTAACTGGCTCTCCTCTCCCTAACGCCCCCACCCCCACCCCACCCCCAACCTAGTTCTCTAGTTTCCCAGCTTCCAGCCCTCCCCTGGGATATTATATCCTGGCCTTGCGATTTTAGCAGAAACAATGGTTGCAGAAGCAAAGGTTACCACTCAGTTTCTACTGTCACCTTCTGCTGTTTAGAGGTATCATAATTGGGGTGCTCTGTTACCCAGAGATGTATTTTGGGAGCTTTTCTAGTGATGTTTTCCAGAGTAGAAACAGCTGCTTCCCTGGGCCCGCGTGTCTCATTCAGAACAATCATCCTGGTGCCAGCTTATGTCAGGTCGCCCTCAAATTCGGGGCTCCCTGCCCTCGGGTTAGATAACTTCCCTGAGTGCCCCGGGAGGGGGGCGTGTCCCAGTCCCGGTCTCTATTCCCCATGACCGCGAGTCCAACAGGGGACTTAAGTCGGCCCAGCCGGACCCGATGCCAAGACGACGAGGCTCTCCCG